CCGTCCCATTTTAAGTGCAGCCATCAGTTTTCGTGTCCAACTTTGATCATTCGTCCTCTTTATTTTTTTTATAATTAGTATTTTTATTGTTATGAGATGATAAACCATGAATAGTACTTTATGCATGAGTTTTTTTAAAAGTTTTTTAAAAAATCAACTAAGACAAACTATATTAAAGTTGGGCACGAAAAATGATGGTTGCACTTAAAATGAGACAGAGGAAGTACATATGCATTGGCTATAATTTTTTGGCATTTCTTCAACCACTCTCATTTACTGTACTTCAGAGTATTTGAGCAAGTTTAATACTAGTAGATATAAGTGTTGAATATATAAGCACGTAATGATTTAATTTGTTCCATAAATACATAAATAAATCATGACATTGTCGATGTAAACTAGTATAATCACATCATAGGATCTATACATGTAAACAAGACAGTAAAGGATGAACAGATCGAAGATGCGAAACATGTTGATACCGATGGTTTTGGAAATCCGGTTGCTCGGCAGGAAGAATTCACGGTACCGTCCCTTAACGGTAGCGCACAGCACGCGAGCGAAGAGGAAGACGAGCCGTATGAACGAATAGGGAGCAGTCGCGTGGAGCGCTTCCCAAAAACCCAAAAATCTTATTGCTACCTTCTTCTAGTGCAAAACGTAGAAGGCGCAGGTTTCGGAGAGCTGCTCTCCCGATTGCCATTGAGCACCGGCGAGTGGGATGGAGTAGACTACAAACAACAACGTAGTACGGAGGAGGAGGCCAACCCAAGATTGATTCCACGTATGTTGCGAGGAGGTGGCGGCTCAAATTATATAGAGATATCAGGACACTTGATCAGGGCGCCTACACGATCTCCACTCTGCATAACCGAACCGAACCAGATAAGTCACGCGTAACTTATCCGAACTCCACACCGTTTCACACATCGGATTATTCGGAGTGTTTCCAAAAAAAAAAATCTGAATTTTCCGCAGCAAAACGGACTCCACACCGTTTCACTCATCAGATTATTCCGAGTGTTTCCAAAAAAAACAAATATGAATTTCCCGCACATGCCTCAAGTGGCTAGGAGAGCATCCTCTCCTAGAATGGGCTAAGACCGATCTATTAATTCAAACAATAAGTCCATATTAAACCCGAGTTAAACTGACATGTCAGGAGCACGTGTTCCCCCTGTTCTCTCCGCCTCACATGCCTCAAGTGGCTAGAAGAGCATCCTCTCTTAAAAGGAGGTCTTCCTCTCATTGAATAGGCAAGGCGGTACTAAACTCCCCATGCATGATATCCCATGAGGTGGGCTTTTATGATTTTCCAAAGAATTAAACTTCGAATGGGCTAAGACCGATCTATTAATTCAAACAATAAGTCCATATTAAACCTACCATATATATATTTTAGTTGTAATGTTGCCCTATTTTTGTTTTCCTCTTTTTCCCTCGCCTATGTAACTAATGCATTTGCTTTGGAGCATGCGTAGAGCTAGATTTTGCATAAGAGCTAGCACTTCTCATTTTTTTTATCTCGTCTTGGCATAAGCTATAGTTGGCTTACACTCCCTCCGGAAAGTTGAGGTGCAACTTTTATAACTTCTACTAACTCCGTTCCAAAATGTGGATGGGTTTCATCCCATCCTAGATTATTATATATAGCAAATCTATTCTACACCCCTCCCCTAGAATAACTATTCTACACCCCCCTCCCATGGGCCAATCCCATCTCCCCCACCATTCATATGGCCCAAATCTCCCCTCCCACCTCAGTCAAAGGCTAGTCAAAGCCTCCTCCCGCCGGTCAAACCCGAGTTAAACCCGCCCATTGACTCCCTCTCCCACCCACCACTTTGCTGTTCACGTCTCGCAGGAATCCCGCAGTAACATAACGGTTATCGTGTAGTAACAGGACAACTTTCTCGCAGCAACAACATCGAAAAATAGTTTTGTTAAGCACTTTTTTACAGAAATCATGGTGCAGACGAATTAGAAAAATACTATATAATGTGAGAGATATTGCTCTCTAAAGATTGAGATTTACTTTTTTTTAGTTCTCATCACGCTGGAACGGCGTAGTAACGTTACGGTCAATGTGCAGTAACACGACTACCATGTATATTTATTTGTGTGATAGGACGATTGAGTCGAGATCTGCTCCCTCTAATTCCTCTACGCCCTCTCCCATCACCGATGCGCCTCTCAGCTGGCAGGCTTCGCAAGGCCATCGTCAATCATAGCCAACGACATGATCACCGATGCTGACAAGGCTCGGCAGGCGCTGCCGATTGCTACGGCCTCCTGCGTACTCAGGAGCGGTGGATTCACCGCCTGTTGGTGGGCTCTAGGCACCCGCTGACAACTTCAACCTCCAGTGGACTTGGGAGTGGCAGATCTGCTGCCGATAGGGTTTGTTAAACGATGACGACAATTGTGGTCTCCTAAAGGCTCATAAGCAACCGGTCCACCGGAGGTTGCCTCACCCTGCCTTATCCCCTTTCTTCCTTCGCATCCACCACACCACTACCACCTCTAGCTAGATCCAGATCAAGGTACATGGCAGGAGCGCTGAGATGGAGGCTGATGATCAAGGCAGTGGGAGAAAGGGGCCAATGCTGAGCTCGATAACGGCAAGCTTTGCTGCAGCCTTGACCTATGTTCACTTCGCTTTTATTTCGCTATGAGATAAATGTGAATTTGTTATGGAATTGCGTTATATATGTGTTGAGCATTGTTATGGTGATGTGGAAGTTTACTCTCGACTTTGGATTTGCGGTGTGTCTGATATTGATTTGCAGTGGTGTGGATCCGTAGAAATGGGACGAGCAGGAAATGGCACTGCATCTGGATATTTTTGAGCTATATTATTTGTTTTCACCGAAAATCACCTCCCAAGTTGCTCGGCTTAACCTAACCACCTGCAAAAATTGATTTTTACATGTGGTTATGGCAATTTGGTAGAGGCGCAGGTGGCTCATCCGCATGTACACATATTTTTCCGCCTATAAGTCCATCGAAATTTTGACTAATTATTAATCTTTTAGAAAAATTATTTTGAAATAAACCGTGTAAAAATCTTCAGCAAAAATAACATGAGCTCAGGGGCCGTATGGCATTGAGGTCCAATAGCTCAGCATCGTCCCTGATCGATGCCGCTAACCCCGTCAGGCGTTATTCAGCTTAGAGGGCGATTGGAGAGGATTAAGGGGGAATAATTCCAGACTATAATAGGTGTGAAATAAATCCCCTCCAATTCCTCTCTCATAAGGATTAACCGAATAAGGCCTCACGGTGATGCGCGAGAAGATGCAATGGATTGACCACCATAACGCTTGGCGCTGACCTCGTATACTCCAAAAAGAAGAGTGGGTACGTCATGTACATCCACAAGTTGACAAGTTGTGTGGTGGTTACATTGTTTTGCTATATATCTTATGCACACATATCACCTAAGTTTGAATCTCACGTACGATGGTTAGGTGGTTAGGTTCTTAATTTGAATGGTTAGTTATTACTAGCGCGCGCGCACAAACACTGAAAAATATAATTTTTTAAATTGTGAGTGTATATTTAGTCATAAGAATTTGATTCATACCAAAGCAATAAATCAACTTAAATTAAACTTTATTTTACAATCCATTATTACATACCTAAGTAATTATATATAAGTTTAGATCCTATATACCTACAATCAAAATTTAACAAAAAGATATTCAAATTTAGTTCAAACTTGTTTGAACTAGCTAGTAAATAAGTTAATGTTCATAACTAAACATTTTTTTAAAAAAATCAGACTCATTAGCATTAGGTACATACTCAATTTTTAATCATGTTGGCCGGGCCCCATGAAGCCCCAGTTAATTTTAATATATATATATATATATATATATATATAAAGTTAAATTTGAGTTGTTTTGTTGCTAGGTATAGGTATGAATCGAATACTTATAACTAGATATATAGAAAATTTTGAAAAATTTAGACGAATTTGTGTATTTCATATTATGGTGCCCGGGTGCCCATATATGTCCTATGTGTGTGTATGTAAACCGGAGTTGCTCAAAGTATATATACTATAAAAAGAGTGTGCTAAATATATTCAATTAAAAAAGAAACACTTATCATAGAAATGATAATTTCATAGGATCAACTCCGACACAATAATTTTCTCATCAATTTAAGATTCCATGGTTCAATATAATTATGCTTTAGATTTTATATATGTTCTGTGAGGATAATTAGAAGAAAATCGCGAAGTGAGTATAGCTCAACTTGTTAGGTTTTTTTGGTAGAACCAACCCACCCGGTTTTATGTCCTAGACTTTGATACGCGGGTGTTTGTGATTACGGCTAACTATTGTTGTAGTAGTAGCCAACGTACCTGTCTACATCGAGGCACTTGTGGTCAATTTGTAAATCCCAACATATGTCGTCTCAGTCTTTCAAAGGTGCTCGTAGAGGTAGGGTAGTGTGCGTGTGTGCTCGTAGGGGTCATTGTGCGCATATTATGAGCGTGTGCATTTGTACTGTTTTTCTTAAAAAAATCATAACTCGTTAATAAGATAGCAGGTTCATAATATATAGAATGAAATAATATGTTTTTTTTCCAAAAAAGGTCATCCACGCACAAAAATGCATATGTTAGGCTAGCAAAATTTTAAGAAACTTTAAATAAGATGTCCACGTTTGTGTGCGCATGCTTCCTTCCTGTTTAGTTAGATTACAAATATATTTAGTTCAAGAATTACACCAATATATTCGTATATATATTAAAGTACTGGTTTTTGCAGCTGAAAAGAATATATCTTATGAGATCGAATTGAAACTTTTGTTCAAACTTCAATGAATCTTAATTAAACACGTTTTCAGAAAAAAAAATAGTATCGTCACACAAATTCAACGGAGATATATTATTGTTAGGAAAATTGGAAAAGGGTACAACGTTCTGGCAGACAAACGTGCAGCTCACCCCTATAAATAACTTAGCTGCGACCATTTGTTCGAATCAGCCGGGCTGAGAGGCAGCAGCTAGCTAGCGCACATGCATTTTCGTTGTGGCGAACAAGCTAGCTGCTAGTACCCTCAGTTATACCAAGATATACACTACATTCCTAGCTAGGTACGATTAGCCGCCGGTGAGTGGGGAGATGGTGACATCAACAGTGAAGTTGGAGGAGGTTAGGAGGATGCAAAGAGCGGAGGGGATGGCGGCGGTGCTAGCGATCGGGACGGCAACGCCGGCTAACTGCGTGTACCAGACCGACTACCCGGACTACTACTTCAGGGTCACCAACAGCGAGCACCTAACCAACCTGAAGGAGAGGTTCCAGAGGATGTGTAAGCACTAATGAGTAATCAGTTAATTTGCATCTATATTATACTAGTACACATACTGTATCTAGTCTAAATAAGTGAAAGGTGAATCCCTTTATAGAAATTAAAGTACTGCGCCATCACTTCTATTATAAAAACTGATCATGTTTTTGTCGGTATTTTGGTATGTCATTTTTATTTGAGTCGGTTTGTAATTTCGTTCGCTTTTGGAAATATAGATTCGTGTTTGAGTCAATTTTATTGTTTGTTCATTTTTTGAAATACAAAAGGAGTCGTATAAGAAATATTTCTTAAAAAAACTCGCACATTAACTTGAGACGATAGTCGGACTCCTAATTGCAGCTCGTGATTTTCTAAAAAAATTTAAGCGAATTTCCAGAGTAAATTTCACCCTATCTAAACCGTATAACAATAATAATTAATAATAATTAAGATTAAAATAGCGCAGGTGCAAATTAATATCGCGCATCCATGATATATGCAGGTGAAAGCTCGCAGATACGGAAGAGGTACACGCATCTTACTGAGGAGATCCTACAGGAGAACCCTAGCATGTGCGTGTTCACGGCGCCGTCGCTGGACGCGAGGCAGGACATGGTGGTGGCGGAGGTGCCCAAGCTGGGGAAGGCGGCAGCCGAGGAGGCGATCAAAGAGTGGGGGCAGCCGATGTCGCGGATCACCCACCTCGTGTTCTGCACGACCAACGGAGTGGACATGCCCGGAGCCGACTACCAGGTGGCCAAGATGCTGGGCCTACCCACGTCGGTGAAGCGGCTGATGATGTACCAGCAGGGGTGCTTCGCCGGTGGCACGGTGCTGCGCGTGGCCAAGGACCTGGCCGAGAACAACCGCGGCGCGCGGGTGCTGGTGGTGTGCTCGGAGATCATGGCGATGGCCTTCCGGGGGCCGTCCGAGTCGCACCTCGACTCCCTCGTCGGGCACGCGCTCTTCGGCGACGGCGCAGCGGCGGTGATCGTCGGCTCTGACCCCGACGAGGCAGCCGATGAGCGGCCGCTGTTCCAGATTGTGTCGGCGAGCCAGACCATCCTGCCGGGCACGGAGGACGCCATCGTGGGGCACCTCCGCGAGGTGGGTCTCACCTTCCACCTGCCCAAGGACGTCCCGGAGTTCATATCCGACAGTGTCGAGGGCGCGCTCACCGACGCCTTCATGCCGCTCGGCGTCCACGACTGGAACTCCATCTTCTGGGTGGTGCACCCGGGCGGTCCGGCCATCCTCGACCAGGTTGAGGAGAAGGTCGCCCTCCACAAGGCCCGCATGCGCGCCTCCCGCAACGTCCTCTCCGAGTACGGCAACATGGCCAGCGCCACCGTCCTCTTCGTCCTCGACGAGATGCGCAAGCTCTCTGCCGACGACGGCCACGCCACCACCGGCGAGGGCATGGACTGGGGCGTCCTCTTCGGCTTCGGTCCTGGCCTCACCGTCGAGACTATCGTTCTCCACAGCGTCCCCATCACCGCCGCCGCCCCTCTTATTATGCAGTAATACTACTTAATGGTACAACTTCTGGCGTAAACTTTACTACACTACTTTGTTTAATTATTTTAATTGTTTCGTGTCATCGTTCCTGTTCACGTCGATCAGGCTTCAATTTCTACATCAGTGTGTGTTTCAGTGTTTGTAACTGTTGTGACCTAGCGGCCGTACGCGTGATCGATCCTGGGATGGCACGATTTCTTGTGAACTCTCGGGCGGCTTTAAAGTACACGTTATGTCATATATATGCATGTAATTGGCCCCTTGTTTGCCCATTAATAAGTGGAGAATGATAAACACCAGAAAACGGCGCAGCAAGCAAGATCGCAGCCAAAAAAATGTCTCAGCCTTATTTGTCTTGTGTTCGTTCTTCCATGCCGTGGAGTTCATACCAAACCATTAATGGTGTACGTATTTTCTTCTTCACAAATACTAATTAACGGTCGTCTATTTTTGGTCTTGGTTTCAAAAGAAACTACAATCAATTATTACACAGCGATTATAGGTCGAATATGGTTACAAAATTATAAAATCACAACTCGAATAGAAACAACAAAACTACCACTTACACTACCAGTACTCAACCAGCCTAAAGACAACAATAAGAACCCTCATCCATAGAGCTGGTTTAGTTCCCAAAACAAAAATTTTTACAGTGTCATATCGATTGTTTGGACATATGCATGGAGTATTAAATATAGGCAAAAATCCCAATTACACAGATTGCGTGTAAATTACGAGGCGAATCTTTTAAGCATAATTGCGCCATGATTTGACAATGTGGTGCTACAATAAACATTTACTAATGACGGATTAATTAGGCTTAATAAATTTATCTCGTAGTTTTCTGACGGAATCTGTAATTTATTTTGTTATTAGATTACGTTTAATACTTCAAATGTGCACTGGTGGAGAAAGCGTTTGTAGTCCCGGTTCGTAACCCCCCTTTAGTCCCGGTTTTCAAACCGGGACTACCAATCCGGGACTAAAGTCGAGCTGACCTTTTTTTTTTCATGGCCCTGTTGCTGCATGGTTTATATATATATATATATATATATATATATATATATATATATATATAAAAACCATGCATATATATGTTTTAATACATATATATATGCATATAATATATATATATATATTATATTTATATATGTTTCAGTACATATACATGCATAATATATATGTATTTATACATATATATGTTATGCAAATGCATAGGTATATATATATATATATATATATATATATATATATATATATATATATATATATATATATATGAAAGCACTTAACATTTTATGTGCATATATATATGACTAAAATATATATTTACATTAAAGAAAATGTGTACATGCATATAGAAAAATAGACATGTATTAATTACAATCTATTATGATGTCCTAGCTAGCTACGATTTCGACGTAGTAGTAGTCGTTATCTCAGAAGCTAAGGACCTATGAATTGTATTTCTGTCGTAGTAGAATTCACCCTTGGGATCAAGGATTTGTTCATTGATAAATCCCATGAGTTGTTCTTGAACCACCGCGATAAATTCCTTGTGTGTGATCAGGTTATCCCTCATGCGAATAAACTATATTAATGTATGAAATTAATTAGTAATTAAACAACAAATCGATACGTACGCAATGAAATTTAGAATTTATTTGTACGTACATCGAGCTCTCTTGCGGTGATGATTTGGTCTACAAGGCAGTGGCAATACTCGCACACGTAGCAGCTGCACAAGTTAGTTCCCTGCTTTTGCTTTGTGCACTATAAATAAATGATAAACGGTGAGAGATCTAATTAATATACACTTGTATGTATTTGAATTGGAGATTCAATATAAATGTAAAGCATGTGTACTCACAGGAAAATTGAACTTCCGCCTAAGTCTTTCTCTCCATTTACTGCGGACCAAATGACGGAATCGATACCAAGCCCTACATGGAGTTTAAAGCTATGATTCGTAGTAGCAATTAATTATAACAAGATTCTTAATTAACATAGGAACTTATGACAGTACCTGTCTATAAGTTCGAAAACCTTGTCAAACATAGACTCTTTTTTATCCATTGAGTCATATACGTTGACGGTGCAGGCCTCCAGGTTGAAGAGTAAAAAGACCCAGTGGAATCTGCAATGTGCGTGGGATGCATTACATATGAAACACTTAGCATGTTCGTACGGAATGAAATTTGGTATAGGAAGACAGTAAAATTAAACTAACTCTGTGTTGTACGGTAATAGTATGAACGTCTTGTAATGCTGCGCCTTCAAGAGATGGACGAGATTGTCCTCTGTGGCTTGCGGATACTGGTCGAGCATTGCGACGTTTACTTTCCGAGGGTCGATGAATCCAGTATCGAAAACCCCCCGCCGCCGGGCCCTTTGAATCTCCATTCTACAACAATAAAAGGAAGTATATATTATATGTAGTCTACTTATATACAAGGACCTAACTAATTAAAGGAAACATAATAAGAAATCTAACTGAACGATACTTACAAAATCCAGCAACTCATAATAGAGACGTCGAGGGCATCCAGCTGGTATAGTTCGTAGATACCCTTGAAATTGATCCAGAGAATGTCATCTCCTTGCAAGAAGTCCGTGTCCCTGATCCTCGCTCCGATCATTTCTGTACCGGTGGCGCTCATCTCCATGTACAGTTGATGGAACTTGTACATTTGTGTGGGTAGGGACTGCAGCTGCTCAGGCTTGACAAGCGGTTTACCGAGTTCGTACATGTATTTCACTTCCGCCTTTTTGATTGGTGCACCTCGTAGCAATTGATCCGTAGTTAGCCCGGTGTCATTAATAAATTCTTGTATTCCAAAATCTTCATGTTCGTTCACGTTCGTTCGTTCGTTCACGTTCTCGTTCATGTTCGTTCATTCGTTCTCGTTCACGATCGTTCGTTCGTTCACGTGGCGGCAGCGGAGCGGCGGCGTGGCGGCGCGGCTGCGGCTTGGCGCGGCGGCAGCGTGGCGGCGCGGCATCGACGTGGCGCAGCGGCGGCGTTGCGCGGTGGCGGCGTGGCGGCGCGGCGAGGGCGTGCCGCGGCGGCGTCGTGGTGTCTCGGCGTCGTGCCGCCGCGGAGGCGTGGCGCAGCCCGGCGTTGTGGTGCGCGCAGCTTCGTCGGCACTGCCGGCGCGACGTCGTCGCCGGTGGTGGCAGCATCGAGGTCAGGGTTGGTGTCACATCCTGATTTTTGTTTCAGGATTTATAAATTATTTAATAAATTATTATTAGAATTTATATTAAATGTTCATTAATTTACAAGTGAAGTTAAATGTGGGAAATAAAATTTCCTAAATATAAAGCATGGATGGATTTAATTTTTATTAAATTCTCCATGGTTAATTATACTCTCTGGAATATTCTCGGATTTTTCGGAGCTCAATTCGTAATTTTTAATCATACAAAGAGCATTTAAGTAATTACCCACATATTAAATTAATCATTAAATGGTCTAATTGTAATTTTTTATGTACTTTGAGTGTCCAAGTATTTTCAGGATTTTTCTTGAAATTATTTGAGCATTGGAAGTATTTTTAACAATTCAAAGATCATTTAAGTGATTATTTTAATTGGAAAAGTAATAAAATCCTCCTCCTCAGCTTGGGCCATTTTCGGCCCATTCCTTCCTTTCCTTCCTCTCTCTTCCACCGGCCCAACCCGAGCCTGCATCCTCTCTTTTCTTCTCTTAGCCAAAGTCTGGTATTGCTCCCTCTTCTAAACAGGCTGAGAAAAGAAAAGCCCGGCAAGAAGTCTACTTTTCCTCCCTGCGCTACTGTTCATCTTCCAGCTCTGGACAGAGCCAGAGCAGAGCCGTGCCGTGCCTGTTGCCGCCGATCCCCTTCCAAAATCTCGCCTCTCGTTGCTCCTTTTTCTAAAATTAGTTGAGGGGAAATATTCCTCTTATCCTCCTCTATCTTTACCCCCAAAAATCGGAGCTAATCGTTGAGTATCTTATCCGAATCGAACTCGTTTTCGAGTTTATCTCCAAAACCGAGTTTTTGATTTCCCGGATCGATTTCTTGCGGGAGGAGTCCGATCTCTTCAATCCAAGGCTATAAATAGGACCCCCTAGTCCTCCTCTTTCGTGTGCCCCCTCTCCCGTGGTCTCCCGTGCCTCGTAGCGCCGCCGCCACGTGCTCCACCCCGCCGTCGTCGCCGGCCGAGCTCCATCCGCGTCGTGCCGCCGCCTCCGTCGTCGCCGCCGGCCGCCGTCACCGCCGTAAGGTACGCCGAGGTGTGGAGAAGCCCGGCCGCTCTCTCCCCGCTGTTGCCGATCACCGGAGCCCCGTCGCCGCCGTCGACCGAAGCCGCGCCGCCGCTAGACCTCGTCGTCGGCCGTCGTCGTTCGTCGTTTGGTTCGAGGGTGAGTACCGTTGGGTTCGTCTCGTCGTCCTCTACGTGTACATGTCCTCCAAAGTCGCAGCCGACCATCCAATCTCCGGCGAGGTCGCCATCTTGGTCCGGCTATTGATGAGGTCATCATGACGTCATCATCGTTTTTCTTTTTCCTGTTTTTCTAATAGATTAAATCTTCGGAAATTCATAACTAAATCATCGTAACTCGGTTTTGAGTGGTTCAAGTTGCTAAATTCATCTAAAATCATGATCTACATGTTTGTTTACTTTATATGTACTGTTTATTTGGTTTTTATTAGCCTTTTTCTTCGTTTTGCGTGTTAGCTTGTCGTTTCCGTCGTTGCGGAGGTTCGTGAGTGCGCCGGAAGTATTCAAGAAGATTAATTGAAGACCGATTATTGCAAGGCAAGTCACACAGATCCTAAACACAATCCTTTGAGCATGTTGATCCTATATTTAAATTCTCTATTTATTTCAACTGTGCATTTATTTTCGAATGTCACTGGGTGGTGTGAACCTATTCCTTTGTTATGGCCTGTTTGCATTGATTACTTTATTCCTTGATACCTTGGGTTATTATAACTTGACTAGTTGGGCTTTATATATTGGTTCAGCTAGATATTAGTTATGATTGCTTAGCCATGCTTAGAAACATTAGCACACTATTGGGATAACTTATGACTCACTATTATTTAATGATGGCTTAATGATAGTTCACGATGGTCAATCGTGATTGGTTAATTAATTACTTGCCAACTAAATCTTGATAATGGTGGGTTGTGAGCACATGGTTTTGAGAGTCGTGCTCATGGCAATTAAGGACCGGTTCGCGAGCTACTGTTGTGAAACATTAACCGTGCCAACCACAAGCCAGCGTGGGCAACGGCTTTACCTTTCGTATAGCATGGTTCATTGCAGAGCACCAGACTGAGAAGTGGCGGAGATAAGCCCACGGG